ATTGATTCTTTAATTATAGTGGTGCCACCCTATGCACTTAAATTCCTAAAAAGTGGAAAAGGGAATTTTTACAAATCCAATTATCTTCTGAACTCTAGCATTTGAGACAAAAAGAGAGAGAGAGAGAGAGAGAGAGAGAGAGAGAGAGAGAGAGAGAGAGAGAGAGAAAAGAAAAAATCCCTGCAGATAGTGTAGGAGAGAGAGAGAGGAGTCCTCCCCTAGAGATATAAACAATTTAGCTTATATCTACATTTCAGGGTTGCCATATGTCAGATTGAAAGCAAAATTGCACCTTTAACAACACAGGAACTGTGGAGAATATAGGTGGTTAGAGGCAGAAACTACAGTAAGAGAAGGTGCTAAGGAGCGAGGTAAAAGTTTTTAGCTGGCAAATGGATGGTATTATAAAAAACCAGAGATTGTGTTACAAGAATTTACAAAACAACTATTACTGCAGGTAGTTTTTAGGCTTAAGGAACATGATCCACAGTATAATGACATGCCTCATAAAATAGCATTCCAATAAGGTTAGTTTTGCCTTCATTTTCATGTCTGTTGTATTTATGTTTAAGTTTTAATTGATGTTTTGATCATGTGTTTGACCCTGAGGAGATTGTGAAGGCTCTCATTTTTAAAATAAATTAAAAAGTGACATATTTAATATACACTAAGTGAAAATATCCTCCTTAACATACCCAGAAATGAGATCTTGTTGGTTCAATAAAACTTGATTTAAAACTTGCTACCTATGAGCACCATAAACCAAAGACATTATTCTAGAGACTTGGGGAAAGGACATCAAATTGGGAAGAGGAAATGGAAGAATTAATTCTCAGATCCAAGTGTTGCCTGAACAGGGAAAGGAAGAAGACAGGTGCAAACATGAAGTGGGCAACATGCAAGTTCATTAGAAACAGCAATGAGTGAGAAAGTCTCTCAATGACCAGTCCCAGAAGATAGAAGCTGTTTTGTTTATCTTAGTCAACTCAACCCAACAGCTAGTTCAATAAGAAAATGAAATAAGGAAAGAGACAGAGATCATATTTTATTTATTTATGTATTTTTTAAAATATATTTTATTCATTTTTTACAAAGAGGAAGAGAGAGGGATAGTTAGAAACATCGATGAGAGAGAATCATTGATCAGCTGCCTCTTGCACACTCCCTACTGGGGATGTGCCTGCAACCAAGGTACATGCCTTTGACCAGAATCGAACCTGGGATCTTTCAGTCTGCAGGCCAATGCTCTATCCACTGAGCCAAAACGGTTTTGGCTAGAGATCATATTTTAAGTGTCACCTGATTTTAAAGTGTGGAGGCTCCCTGAATTTCTCCCCCTGCAGAAAATTAAGTGCTCTTGTTCCCCCAAGAATCTTAGAGGCAAGAGTGTGACCATCCTAGCCTACTGACTCAGTACTTGGAGCCTGTATGACAATGAGGAGCTGTCGGCTCCATGGGTTCTCTCAGTGATTAAGCCTGGCCTCTTGTATAAGAAGCAGGCAAATGCATCCTATTGTTAGTTTAGCTTCATATACAGGGAAGCTTTTGTAGCAGCTACTTATCTACTGGTATGAGTTGAGTCAAAGTAAGTGCTCATTATTTTCCACGTTGCTACTCATGTAACCTTGTAAGAATTTTCTATGGGCTGGTAAATTTTAGTACTTATCCACAAAGCTATTTTGCAACCAGGGACTCTAAATGGCAATTATTATACTAATGCTTAAATCAATATTTCATGCTTATAGTTCTGTCTCTAATATATCCAAATGGAAGCAGGCATTACACCAAGGACGGGAGAAAAGACATATTTTAGTAAAAAAAAAAAAAAAGGATGGGAAAAGAACAACACTGTCCTTTGAACCAATGCTTTTAAAATTAGATATTTAAAGAAAAATCTACCAGAATTATGGCTTACTTGACAAGGAAAGATAGCTTCCTCCATCTTCTCTGTTTACACACACTATTATTTCAGCCCATGGTGTTTTGTTTACTTTGGTAAGAAATATTTTACCCCCTCTGAGATAATTAATTTTTGTCAGCTTCACTGTTTATAAGGGAAACTGAGAAACTGTTAATTGAAATACAAAATGAGTCACTGTTTTCAGCAAATTTTTGGCAGCATTCTAATTTGTGTCAATCCCAGCCTAATTATTAGCTTCTTTTGGAAGTAGAAAGCATATTTGATTTTTCTCTTACTGAATTATTTCTTCCTCTTAAAAAAATATGCTGCCTGACAAAGGTTATGTAATTTATATCAACATGAGGTGACATACCAGTACATTTGAAATACCACAAGGTTTAGTGGGTCATGCTTGGCTCTGCACAGTAGCTAAATATTTAGAAAGCCTACAGAATGTGGTCTTTCTCCTCCCCTCATTTCTACCCCCTCATTTCTACAGCCAGCCCAGCCAAAAACTGTGGTTCTTTTAAAGACCTTTTAGTAGATATTAAGCCACAGTATATGGCCCATCACTAATGACATCACTGAAGTAAACTTCCCAGAGTCATCAGGGAGAATTCACTTGGAAATTCAATTGAATGTCACTTGTAAAGGGCAGGCCCCTTGAAGAGGTGACCAGTCATGCATCTCTCAGTTATCTGTTGTGAAAGCATTAATCACTGGGAACTCATTTTCTCCTAATGCAGACACACTGCATTGTTTCACAGGAATTCTTTTCCAAATGATCATTAATGTAGAGAGCGGAAGCTGCTGCCAGTGGACAGTGCTAATAAAATCTATCAGATCAATGGCTGGTATAATGGGATTGTTAATGGTTGCTAGCAGGAGATGGATCTTTCCTGGCTGCAGTAGAATGAAGGCAGGTGGAGAGGCAGTGGCTTTGCTGGAAGGACAGCCCCATCTCTCACCTCCTGAGGTGGCTTCTTGGGGGGGAAAGCAGCATATCCCTCACAGCACATCCAGGGCTCTGAGGCTGGGAGCACAGGCACCAGCTAAGGGCTGAGGAGAGAGTCATGGGGTGACTGTGGGGACGGCTCTGCTACCACAGCCTCCTCCTATGGGTTAGGGTGCATCTGGGTACTGGGGGGTGCTGTGGGCATCCTAGAACTTTGCCTCTCCTGCTCCACATTGGGTCAGCAATGAGAGAAGAACAATATCAGAGTAAGTCTCCTGGGCCAAGGGGCCAGCCCTTTACATGCACTTATCTCAGTCCTCAGGGCAGCGCCCCTAACGCATGTGCATTAGTTATTACCCCATTTCACAACCGAGGAAGCAGAAGTTCAGAAACTAGTCCAGGGCCAGATTCAAAAGTTGTGCCTCTAAATATCATGTTCCTTTACTGGAGGGAGAGACACAGAAGCTGTAGCCTAAAATCAGACCAAAACAGGAAGCAAGGTGCGACAGTGCACCTGGCAGTCTTTCCATTTGCATATCCAACCAGCCAGGAGGTTCAGGACCAGCTTGGGACAGATTATATAAAAGCTATGGTTTGTACCAAAGACTGTTTTTCTAAGCTTTGCTACTAAAATGTAGGCACCCAGGGCCTTAAAGAGGCCTAACTGCTCTGAGCCACCCAACAGCAGCCTTGACTGGGGGCTCCCAGGAGGCCCTCTCTGCTCAGTAACACCTTGTGCTTAAGACTCATCCCAACACTTGTCTTGTTTCCCATTATCTAAAGGTCTTTTGTAAAACTTATTATTATGTTTTTAACACTGTTTAAGTCTATATAATGGCTTGTCTCATGGAGGAGAGAGCACTGGAATCGGTTAGACTTTGTTGCTATCGCAAGCTCAAATTGTGTCATCTAAAGATTTTGGTCCGACTGTACCTTAGGTCAAGTAAGGCAAGAGGAAGCTACTGCCTCCTGGGGCTGCCTCTGAGCAAAAGCATAATGGGATGGACAGCATAGCTGGGCACGGGAGCATGGTCATGCGGGCACTGTGGCATTCCTAAGCCCCAGGGACTACTGTAACCAAGGTGCTGACATAGTTGCCTTCGGACTCAGGAATGGGAATGGGATGGAGTTTGCAGGAAAAGGCTATGGATGCAAGAGGGATGAAAGAGGAATGACAAAAATGCAAGAATTGTAAAATGCTAACACTATCAGACATTCCCAATAAGCACAGAGTATGGCATAAGGGCAAAATTTAATTCCCAGATCAGCTCCCACAACTAAGATGCGAGTAGGCCTCTGTAGTATTTCCACGCAAAAACATCACTATTACTAAAGGCTTATTTCCTTGATTGTTTTAAAAACATGTTAAGGGTTTGAAAGATGTGAGAGAAGACAGATGGTTATGAAGGAGAGGGTTAAGCAGGGAAGGAGTGGGGAGGGCATAGAGGGTTTTGGAGGGAGTCTCTCACATACCCCACAACACCTATCCCATCAACAGGAAGCTTACATGGCGCCAAGTGCAATGGGGATGCAGAGATGGGCTAAGATATGTTCTCTGGCCCCCAAGATCTTACAAATACACATCACAAGTGCTAGACTGCATGGCATAGGATATAAACACAGTTAGGTTGGGTGAGAGCAATTAGCAAAAGGAAAATTCAGAGACAGCATCATGGAAAATTGCATTGGCTGTGAGAACACAGAAGAATGTGAATATAGGGAGAAAAGACACATTTAACACAGTTGAGGAATGAATGGAAGTGTGAAGGTGGGAGCAAGCACGCTGGGTACAAAGAAGAATGAAGGAAACATCCTTGTTTCAGTGGAGGAGTGAGTGTGTGTGCACACATGTGTGTGAGTGTGTGTGTACATGTATGCATGTGTATTAGGAGAGGGAAGCAGCAGGCAATAAGCAGGACAAGATTGGGCAACAGAACATTAAAAAGAATGTTGGTAGCCAGACAAAGAAGTTTGAATCCGTATGATAAGCAAGAGAGAGCCACTGGAGGTCCTTGAGCATGATCTCAGCCCAGTTTTGGAAAGTTTACTCTGGTAGTTGTGGAAAAAGTAAACTGAAGAAGGAAGAGAGAATTAAGAGACTAGGAAGCCACGGCACTGACATGACTGCTATCTTTTCTCCTGCAGCACACATTCATACTCCCCTTTTCCCTGGTTGAAGTCATCCTCAGGCCACACAGCTATCCAATGAAGAAGAAAGGACTCAGCTTGTTGGCTGCTGCAAGTCTTGCCTACATTAGCAGGTAAGAATTGCAGAGAGAAAACCAACTTAAGCTTGTCCTTCAAATCTCTGAGAAATATTCCAGAAGCATACTGTTCTGTAAGACTGCCTTTATATTGAGTTAATGGGGATTTAGCCATCTTTAAGTTTTCAAGTAAAAAGAATTTTGATTGTTTTTGATACTCGTGGACACATTCCAGCAAAAGAATACACAGCTGGTACAACACACACATATACACATGCAGCAAGTCATGAGTTATTCTCTCCTTCTCATGAAGAATTAATCATTGCAAAGCTACTACATATGTTACTTTTCCCAAGAAAATGTTGATCTTTGGTTCCACTTGCAATTAAGTGTTTGAACAGCTGAATGATCCAAGGCATGTAAATATATTCCTTCTAAAGAGGCATGTGACAGTTTAGCATGCTAGGTGTGTTCCATTCCTGTTGCCTGCATCATTATGGGTTTATTTGCATCAACATCTGGCACTAGAGCTCCTAGAGGGCATTTGGGCAATTGCCCAGGGGCTTGCAGAACAGCCTCGCTGGAGTCATGTAAGCTCATTTAAGCAGCTGCCCTAGATTTTATCACTCAACCACCTGGCAATACTAATTCTCAGAAACACTGCCCAGTGATCTGTAATCAAGGGAAAGCGCTTGGTCTTCCACCCAGTGAGTGGAAACCCCTTTCCATTTTAGAGCCTTCTCATCCACTCCATGCTTTTGCTTTACTGAAAGAGGCATGCCAAGCATAGTGCCTGCATATCAGAAGCTAATTATGATGTTCCCTCTCTAGTCTAGACTCAGATATACTATTCATATCTGACAAGCTGGGTAATCCCCCAATACCTATGTAGGGAAAAGTTTAATGGAACACGGTGCTCTGCCAGAAACAAAAGCCAGAAAGAAAACACATTCCACAGGGGCGTGGGCTCTCAGTGCCTGCTCCATGGGCTTCACGAGCCTTTGTCTTAAGCAAGTGACCTTCATGCCAGAACTCAGATGATGGTTCCTTCCTTGTCTTTCTTTCCCTTTTGTGAAGCCTGCTTCTCCCATCCTCATACCCTCTTTCCCCGAGTGCTCAAACACTTCCTTGCTTCTCCTGTTTTAAAGAAAGTATTTAGTCAATTTATCCCAAGATTCCAGTGATCTACACTGTCCTACAGCCTGGAGCCTTTGCATTTTAACAAAGGTCATTTTAGAGAATATTGCTTAAGTTGGGGACCTACTGGTAGCTGATGTTGGGAGCCCTGTGCTGGGAAGGGTTCTTCTCAGGCCCTAAAAAAGAAAATTGTATTAGAGCTCATTGATATTAGCCAATAGCATGAAAATGTAGAGTAACAGGATATATTCCATGTAGTTGCCAAATCTGCCTTGACTCAAAGGAATAAACCCCTAAAGACAGAATACTTGGAACCCAGGATGAGGTAAAAGTATATATCCATAATGATATGTCTGTTGTATGTGTTGGGAAAAAGGAGGGCAGTAGCTGGTTGATTATATACATGCATTTCTATACTCTGCTTTCTTTGGTTTGTTTGCTTTGGCTTGGTGGACTTTAATCTTATTTACTCTTTCTTGCCAAGTATAACTTCTGCAGTTCATATATAAGATAGTACTTTTGATCTATTAATTTTTTCTACCTAATAAATTGGAAGTTGATCACTAATCCTCAGATCTAACCCTTGTTATTTTCCTCCTCAGAAACCAAGAACACACAAGAGCACCATGGCTTAGCTACCATTTGGGGGGAAATTGCAGTGGTCATAAAAGATGAGAAACAGTAGTCAAGAGGGCTTGGCTTGTTGGTGCCTGGCATGTGTTCTGACAATGCAGGGAACTGGGCGGTTGGGGAGAAGAGGTGCAACAAGATGGGGGTCAAGTGTGAGTATCTCACAGGTCCGTTCAGTTGTTCACTGTGCTGAGTTACCAAGGACACAGGAATGTAAAAGATACCATGCTGCCTTTCAGGAATTTCAGGGAGAGAAGAAAGTACACACACAGTGGGAAGACAGGATGATGAGACTGTAATAGGGGCAAGCACAGGGCATTGTGGGATGCTGAGGACTGTCTTCTTAAGAAAAGAATGTGTAAGCTGAGGCCCAAAGAATGAGTAGGAATAAGTCAAAAGAGGTATAGGAAAGACCTTTAGGCAGAGGGATCAGCATCTGTTAAGGGCTGAAGGGAGCTGAGGGTGTGGCTCAATTGCAGGACAGGGTAAAACTAGAGCATGAATTCACATCAATGAGTTTGGACTTAAACCAGAGGGATTTTCTGTGGAAAACGTTTTAACCAGAGGAATGAAATGATGTGGCTTATGTAAGAAAGATGGTTAAAAAGTTGATTTTGGCTGGAGTGTGAAAATTAAAGAGAAAAACACGGGGAGACCAGTTGGTACTATTTGTGAGACTTAGTAGTAGCCAGTTGATGACAATATCAATCAATTTCATATATAATTATAGAAGGTGGGCAGGATAAGGAGACTTAGAGACCACCTAGCATTGGAGACCTGAATTCTCAGTGGGTTCAATAACATGCCCAAGGTCATAGGGGCGAGGGAATTCAAAGCTGGGACTTAAATGCAGGTCTATTTTAAAATCCAGTTTTCTTTCCACTCTATTCACATGGCCATGTATTTGTTCAGTTCACTGCATGTGCAAAACATATTCCACTAAGTGCTGCAAAAAAGCTCAACATGGGTATGCAAAAAAGCTTAACATGGTCCCTACTGTCTAAAAGCTTTCATGATGTAGTGTCCAGCACTGTGCTTGTGATGGAAAAGTGATGCAATGGAGCAAGTGGGAGGAAGCACCAGCAGAAATGTGACTGGGTGCACCCAGTGATTTGGGTTTTGGACCTCCTTATTAACAAAGCAGTAAATCAGCATTTGGTCCATCAGGCCCCTTTATTTCTAAATCAAATGCACCTGTATGTGGCTACGTTGTGCTGCACCACTGACTGAAGCTTCCCTATTTCTATTCATTCCTCAGTTAAGGGAGTTCAGACTCTTTGCTGCCTACTGTCTCCACCCTTATGCAATGCTCAAAGGCCCATGAACCTTCAAAGCCACAGGTGGCCATCAACAAGCTCCACAAACTGTGGATATCCATGGAGATGTTTTGGGGAAGTGGCTGTGGGTCAGCTGTTAGGCGTGCCTGTTTGGATGGTCAAATAGGGAAACGGTATAGCAGAAATGAGGTCAGGAATATGGGCCCTGGCCAGACAGAGCGTGAGAAACAAACACGAGTCAGAAAAATGACAATAATTCTGAGTCAGGGAAGCATTTCACTGCAGAAATCACATCACAATGACCTAAAAATAATTGCCGAGACCGTGGGGACTGCCTTACATGTGGAACTTGCTTTTTGTTATTTTTCAGATTGCAAAATTGGAGGCTGGCCCCTAAGTGGAAAAATAAAGCTTTGCAAAGTAGTAATAACTGCAAATCTTTCATTTCCTTTGGAAAGCATTAGTCACCTATAAATGTGGTAGCTCACTCACTCCTCCCTTCTCTCTCACCTCAGAATACCTCACCTAGCTCTCTCTGCGGCCATGGCGAGGAAGAGGGAAATAGAAATGTTCCTACTGCTGGCTCTTATTCATTCTCTTTTTGAACAAATATTTCCCCTAACACAAGGCTGGTCTTGCTGGGAAAAGCAACATTATATAAGGCTAACCCAGCCTGTAGGGGATTTGTAGTTAATAAGGGGAGATGAGCTGTGCACTCAAATTATAAGACACACAATGGGAAGTGATAAAATGTCAGAACAAATACAAGGAGCCAGAGAAACCTGGAGGAGGAAGTGGTTGTCTCTTGCTGGCCAGCGTGGAAAAGGTGCTCATTGAGTGTGGGCAATAAAGGATTGGTTGGATTGGAGCTTCAAAAAATGAGAGAAAGTAGACAACACAGCATAGTCCCAAGGCCAAAGGAGAACAGGTCACAGAACAATGGTCAGCAATTTGCTCTTACTGAAAGAAACTGATAGGAAATCACACTGGAACTGCCCTATTAAGGGGCTTGTGGATAGCAGGCTAAAAGAGGAGATATAGTTTAGACAATGTGAGATTTGATTGTCACTGTTGTTTATTTCTATGGCATGGAGGTGGGAGTGAGAAGTATCAGTGACATGGCCAGAGAATTATGCTTTCAAAAGGTATCTTGACAAGAATGGTTAAGACATGGGAAGCAAAATAGAATAAAACAATAAACAAATAAAAATTATCTTGAATATTCTTTCCATCTAGTTTAATCACATTGTTTTATTCTTTATCCATGGTTTTTTAATAGTCCCAAAGTCATTCCAGGTCCAAGTGCTCAAAGCACCTACCTCTATGGAGTTCTAATAATCCAATGAGTGCTCACACAGGCCTTTGTGGTTCATAGTCCCAAAAACTGCTCTCCTACACAGACTGTAGAGCCACAACACCTAGTGTTCTGGGCCCAACATCACCTGGCTCTACTTTAGGGTTAGTATTCCACCCCCATTGCTAACAATGCCACACTACCATTGCCCCTATGATGGTAGAAATAGAACTGTGCTGCTGACCACTGCCACAGCCACAGCTAGCCTGGAGGATATCACTACCTTGAATTTGGTAGACCAGAAATCTGCTTATGCCATAAGTATTTGTGCTAGTGTGCAAGGTATTGCATGCACAGTGTGACTGTTGCACAGATATGCAGCCATAAGTCAGCCTTGGGGAAGATATTTGCAAAGTCACTTCTCAATAACAGTTTGTATGAGATGAGGGAGATGTTTCCTTTCTCCTATACTGTGCTTACTGAGGTGAAGACCACAGCTAAGCTGCCAGGGCACCTGGCAGGTTTAATAGTCCTCTAAGTTGATGCAGCCATTTACACATACACACTTATAAATATAAATACTGACATCATATCCCCAGAATCCCTTAAAAACTGCCAGAGGGCTGGGCTAAGCTGAGTTCCAGGGTCAGCCACCTCACCATATTTGGCATGACCATACTCTTCTACTCCCACTAGTGCATTGTGTGAATTCTCTCCCA